CGGGTCCCGCTTCCCCGCGCTCCCCTCTGCTGCCAGGCGCAGTGTCAGCAGAAAACAGGCTCCCAAGCTGCCAGAAGTGACGAAGCCGTGGCCAGCGGGGAGCGCGGGGCCGGGCGGAGCCTCTGCCCGCCGGGGAGCTGGGTCTGGCAGCGCTCCGGGCTGCCCCGCGCGGGGACCGCGCAGCAGCTCAGCCCCGCACCCGGCAGAACAGGCCTGGCGCTTCCCTACAGAGATATCCAGGTGTTAAAGAAAGGTGCCTGCTTAATGCATAATCTCTTAAGTTCTGAAGATGTGCTTTGGTGACATCCCCTCCGAAGAGAGGTCCTGGTGCAGAGGAGCCTTCTTTGGCTTCACTGCCAGGAGATGACTCTGCAAAGCTGCTTGCAGTGAGCAAAGCAAAGAGGAAATCAAGCAAATAATTGGGTCAAAATCGTAATTATCATAAATGGAAGCTGCATAAAAAGCTTTCATTTACTGTATGCCACGGGCCACCCAAGCTAGAGGGCTGCTGTGGGGGTGGGCTGAGAGACTCCCTGCAGGGGACAGTCCAGGTGCCAGAGGAAATTATGGTAGTGATTCAGGAAACAGCACTATTATCACTGCTGTTTCATTATATGTACTTTAATGCACTGATGTGGCAGGAGTTCCTGGCCTTTCCTACCCATATATGCATACTTATACATGAAGAATATTTCAAGTTTCAGTATAGGACTTGAGGGGATCCATTATCACTGACAATATAAATGAAGGAAAGGCTGGAGCATTTCTGACAGGCTTGGCTAAAAGTCAGTGTGTGTCAGGTGACGTGCAGATTTGCAGTTTTCCTCTTATGTTAGAGTCTTTGGTAATAAAAAAAGATAGCTCTAGTACCTAAATGTCCTTCTAACCTCAGACTGAGAGGTAGGACTCAGTTGTTTAATCAGTATTTTTTTCAGTTCTTTAGCCACAATATTTTTCTTCACTGGTTCTAAATTGATGATCTTATGTGCAGCTAATGAGCAGTTTCCCTGATCCTGGCATTGGTCACATTACAGAATAGTTTTGTATCTCCTGCCCTTCTGCAAGCCTGTTCTAAAGTTTATTATTTTTATTAATAACTTGCATTATATGTTGATTTGAGATAGATATATGCACTGTAGACATAGAATTGTATCTTCATGCCTTTTGTGAAAGCTTCATTCTGATTTAGAAGATTCAAGTTGCATGAGTATTATAAATGGTGCGGGGACACGTTGCTTCCTATTTATAGACCTGTCATTCTGATACTCCTATAAAGAACTGCAGTCATTCTTTATTCTTAAATGAGTAAGAGAAAATGTAACCTCTGTAATAGAGCATTTTCCTTGAGTACTGAGAGCTGGGTTCACAAAGAAATTTCATGTATAATTGTATAAGCAGTGTTAGACAAGGGACCAGAGACCAAGTCCTTCAAGCTGAGTTTCTCTCTGTGGCCCAGGGAATCTTAATTTCTCTTCTGAAAAGTGGAATAACTTCTCAGGAAAGAGAGAACAAGCCAGCATATACTTGGCACTCAGGCAGCTGTCAAGAAGGGTAGTACTGAGTCCTCTCGGGGCTGAGGAGGGAGGGTTTGCACTCTAGTCTCCCGTCTTCTGGGTGTTAACACATTCTCACACATCTTGGCCCTCCTTCCATCACCAGCTCTGTTCTGAACAAAAACTGCAGATGTTCCATTTTGTGCAAAGCCATCAGCATGGCTTTATAAGAGCCTGCTGCATCAGGCCACCCAGGGGACATGAGCAGGGAAAGCAAAATTGGAACTGACAGACCTCATTTCTTTCAAACAACATACTCATGCATGTATTTCTGGGAGGAACTAAATTTATGATCAGAGAAAACTGATCCAAATCAGTTATCACATACTCATGGTTGGGCAGTAACAGCCCCAGCCTGTTCTTAAGGTACTAGTTTTTTGCTGTGAAGATCGTGCATTTCTACATAACTGTTTCGAATAGGAATCTGAAATATTATTAAGTGCTAAATTTCCAAATACAGGTTTATGGTGGGAAGAGCCAGGGGTATGCTGGTGCATAATGAAATGGAAAATTCCAGTTCAGTACTGGGAGGGGCACTTTTTTGTAGTGTAGAACCTGTAAGTGAAAAATATTGAATAATATTTCTAGATGGAATGGCAGGAACAGTGTAAATAAACCTGAAGTGTTCCCTGGATGGAAATTTGCCTTATAGTGATGTTAATAACACTTATATCCAGAATGCCTCCCCAGCCTCTCTGAGAGGTTTTTTTAGGTAACTGCATGCACGTTAGTGTTGAGAAGACTGCGTGTCTATTGAAATATACTGAGCTGCTTAACTTGTATGGAAGCTTGTGTATTTCAAAAACTTTGCCACTGTCCTGAATGTAAGATGGATGCTGGTTTCCTTCTTCTACAGTATATCTATTGCCAGCTGACCCTGGATGCTGCCTCTCTCTTCTTCTACAGGCGGTCCAGCAAAGAAGCAAGCTGGCACTGAGGAGCAGAAGACAGTGATGGACAGTTAACAAACACAGATCTTCTTTGCCTGGTCATCTTTATTATAAAAAGCTTTCCTTGGTCAATTTGTGAGACATTTTATAATGCTTATCTTGACCAGTTTTTCTTAATGGTGTCTTAAGTGATCTGGACTAATTAATATTGTTGAAATGGTATCCCAAATAATTTGTAAATCCTTTTATTTCAACAGGGAAAAATTATTGTTGCCTTAGCTGCAGGATCATTTTTATTAAAAGGTCTAAACGGGCATGACATGTTCAGACCAGTACTGGAGTTCACCATGACTCTTTGATCTAGAGTACCCATTCCCCAGTTAACATCAGAATCTCATTTTCTTTGGAGTTGGTGTAGTTATGAAGTAAAATTTGTGGTTCTGATGATTTCAAAGGGCTTCAAGAGAAGCTGAGGAGTTGAAGTTGTCATGTAGCAGTACAGTCTGAAGAGTGATAGGTCAGGAGACAAGGCTGCAACTTGTCAGGTAGATGAAATCCAGGTTAAAGCATTAACAGAGGGGAATATTGTCTGGTCCCAGACGCAGGATGTACAAAGGCCTTTTTCTTCTCCCAGCTCTTTAGCTGGGAGCTTTCCCCATTATCTGCTGTCAAGGAATTTTTCTGAGAAAGGAAGCTAGTGAACTGTGGGGCACTGTCCTTAGTGACAGTGACGGCTGCAGTGGCAGTTTCAGAGCTCACACATGCTTACTGACCAGCCAGGGCACTGTGGACATGCTGGCTGCAAAACCAGCTGCTACCTGTGTCTTAAAATTATACAGTATATAAAAGATAAACTTTTTTCAGGTACAAAAGGCCTGTCTTTCCCTCCATACAACACTGATTTAGTGCCCTCTTACTTACCTAACTGCTGGCTTTCAGAAGGATTACATGAACCTATTTTTGAGATACTTGCTTGTCTCTTAAATTTGGTGGCAGTTGGTCATGGTTGTGGAGTATTAGGGACCTGGTCATGCAAACACATACATTCCTTCAAAACCCAGACTGAACAGATTACCACTGAAAGGAGCCAAGTGAACTTGAACAAATACTCTAGGCTTCATGTGGTACGTGGCACAGATGTAATGACTCATGTGACATTTCTGTTTTCTTTCAGGTTGTGCCAAGGAATAAGCCAAGAAAAAGCTTTTTGTATCCTAGCATGGCAAATGAAGAAGATGATCCAATTATACAAGAGGTAAAAGTGCATTGTGGTAACAGTGATTGTTCATGTGGCTTTTATTACTTTTTTTATCGTCCCTGATGTTCTTACTTTGCTGAAACAATGTGTTGTCAACATCAGTGTTTGTCTTATAATCAGTGGCTTGCTCTGTGCAAGGAAACGTGTGGGCTCATGGTGTCTACTTTGCCAAAATAGTGGTGTCCATGTTGTCAGATTCAGCTTAGATTTCACCCTTTATAATCTTTCCATGTCAGAAGAGCAACATGAGTGGGAAACTTGCTTCTACCCCTCAGTGTTTCCAGTAACACTATTTTGTGTCTCTGAGAGCTGTTAAAAATTGGAATGATTATGATGAGTTAATAAATACGGAGCAAAAATATTTCATGCCTTCTGCTAAAACAAGCAGTTCTGTTCTGATTCTGACCCTCTTTAAAGGACTGCCATGTCCCAAAGAGTAGCCACAGTGTCTTGTTTACTTTATGCCTGCATTTACACACCAGAAGTATAAGGAAGGGCACGCTCATAAGGAGAAAAGCCATGAGAAAAGGAGTAGGAATTGTCAGGAATATATCTAGAGGTATCTAAAATGGCAGCTTCTATATGTGATATTCATGAAACATCTCTGGATTTTCAGTGCTGGTGGCAAAATGCTGATATTGACTCAGATTTGGGGTGTGGGTGTCTCTTTTCTAATTTAGAAAGTTTTTATGACAAAATACTAGTAATAAAGTTACCTTTCAGTCATACTGCCAGAGAACTTCCTCCTCTTTCTGTAATTGTGGTAACAAATTCACTTCAGTTCCTCAGAAGAAATTATCCTCTTTTATTTCAGATTTGTTTGCCAAGTTTCCTTAGAGAGAAAAAAAAAAACCATCTAGAACCACTGTCTGCTGCCTCATCATAGTGGGATTATTTTTGACATGAACTGCAGGAGTTCATGTCAAAATCAGCAGAAAGGAGACCTTTGACAAGAGAATAATGAATGTATTTTATGTTAGTTTTTATTTAAAAGCTAAAATGATCAGTATTTGACCTCTAGGGATTGTACTCTTACCTGAGGCTCCATCAATTACAGCTGGCATCTTATGCAAGTCTTTTGTTTTGTTTTTTAGATTGATGTGTTCCTGGCCAGAAGTCTACTGGAGAAGCTGTATCTGTTTCAGGTATTTCAGTTAACTTTTCTTCAGTGATAGTTTATTTAAAATAAATTCCAAGAGCAGTAAGTTTCCTTTCTGCTTCAACCTGCCAAGATCATCGATATAGGCCAGCCTGTTTGGGTGTGAGTCAGTTGAAATATTTAGTATTAAATCATTGTCAAGAGAGAAGTGGTCATTTATGGCACAGACTTGCTGTGAAGTCACTCCCATTGCCCTTAGTAGACGATGTCTTTTTATTGTGGTTTGCATAAATCTGCAGTCTCCTAAGCATCTTCTGTCATCACTGATTTCTGCCATCTTTAGGACTGGCCCTATTTAAAACATCATCAATATTGATAAATTAGTGTGAGTCATCAGAAGAGCCCCCTTATGTTGTGAAGAGCAAAGTGACTAGCGATTGAAGGTAGAAATACGTGAGGAAGGTAGAGATTTTCTTCTGCCATTAAGTTTATCTAATAATTTTATTCTTATGATTCACTTTTCTTGTTTGCAAAATGGGAAGTATTTTTAAGATGTTGGATGGACTGTTCAATGTAAAGCAGTGATGCCCACTGGCAAGCCCACTGCCTGCTGTCCAGACCCTCTGCATAGCACTTGCCAGCAGACCACAGCTGGAGACAGCCAGGCACTCTGGGCCAGGCCCTGCAGTCTTTTTTCTGGGACACCCACAGTTAGTGCATGTCAAAGTGAGCATCAGTCAGTGATGGGGCCTGTGGGTGTTCTCGAGAAATGGCAGCTCTGAGGAGGATGCTGCTGTGGCTGGAAGATTTCATTTGGATACCACACTGTTCTCTCAGCATTTCCAAATGGTTCAGAAGTGTGACTACATCTGGGTTTGGTATCCAGACTCCTGTGTCCTGCAAGCTCACACTACTTGTGTAAGCCCATAAACATGTTGCTTTTAGGTAACTACTGTCCAGATACATAATGCTGAAGGATAGGGTTTTAATTGCATCTAACTCTTCCTTTTTCTGCTGGACTAATACTTGGTATCATTTTCCTGTGTTACAGTTTATGGTGGTATGTGAGGGGCAGGAGGGTCACTGTGTAGTGACGAAAGCAGAGGACTGAGGGGGCAGCAACAGGCTTTTTGGGGCATACTCCCAAATTCCCTGGTGACTCAAAAAACAGTCAAGTAATTTCTTCTCTTGATGTCTTGTATTCATCTAGCAAGTGAGGCTACATGTGAGGGGAGAGGGAAGATTGAGTTAATATCTATTAAGTCCTTTGATCTTTAAATGAAGAGGGTTTTACAAAATGGGTTTGTTTTCCAGTATCCTATTCGCCCAGCGTCCATGACGTATGATGATGTTACACATTTATCAGCGAAGATAAAACCAAAGCAGCAGAAGGTTGGTCATCATTTGAATCCAGTCTGTAAAAGCTGTTTTATGTTGTGGAGAGTGTACGTAAGAAATAGCACATTATGCTATTAAGCTGTTATAACTGTACAGCTGCTGGCAGGAGCAGATTTCGGTCCTTGCAGGTATGGGGGAGACTTTATTTGTGTCTGTAATGTTGGGTTTAGAAAAAAAACAGTTTATAAACAGAGGAGTTAAAGTAATGGTGGAAAAACCACACTTAATATAAAATAGAGTCACTCTGGGAAATGTAACTACTAATGCTGAATCAGTCTGTAGGTGTTTGTGCTAATACAGCTTAATTTAAAAGGCCTTTACAGTATTCAGAAAAGGACTGTACTTTGGAGACATGCTCCGTCTTTCAGTGTCGGTGCAGGTCTTGATTTTTCTCTTGCCTGGCCCTGAATCATCAGCAGTCCTTTTGCTCTCTGTGGGATTGTATAAGTAGGGAAAGTATAGCTGAAACCAGGATGACTGCACTTGCTTGCAAATGTGTCCCAGGTCTGTGGCCATAATTTCAAAATGCCTTATTTAAAAAACCCACATGAATAGATGTCTGTGATACTAAGATTTTGTTCTGGGAAATGGTTAAGGAGAGCACTTGTGTAAACTTTGGAGTTAAGATGCATGTTCTGTTCAGGAAGTCTCCTATTGAAATCAGCAAATGTTTGCATTGTAAGTCCTGTGCAGACTTGTAAATCTGCTGTCTCATCCAGGGACTTGTAACTAGCTCAGTTTGTGAGTAACATAAAGGGGAACAAAAAAATGAGGCAATAGCTCTGATACATGAATTTATAAGGGCTTTGGCACACCCAGAGGAAGAGTATATACTGTATAGTATACAAAGAGAAGTGCTATGCAGGAAAACATATATTTTGAGCAATGGTAAAGCTTAAAGTTTGAGGAGGGGAATAGTTTTCTTTGTCATTAAAAGCTTGGGGCTTGTTTCTGTGCTTCAACCAGTGTAAATCAGGATGAACTGAAGTCAGTGCTAAGTGCTGCAGCCTCAGACTGCAGAAGCAAGAGGCCTTTGCCTCTGAAGAGGAAAGATACTTTATACTGCTTGGTACCTAAAGTAGAAGGAAACGTATCTTAAGTTTGAGAGATTCTGGATGGATTCTCAGTGATGGGGAGGCTTGAAGGGTATTGCTCATGCACTTGAGCTGTGCTGATAAGCAAACTAGACTGATACCGTAGTGGAAGTCAAGGTACTTTTCAAGGCTGCCTAAAGATCTCTGGTTTCTCTGCTCCATTCATCTACTTGGGAGTTTATACATCTCTAGCTTCCTGTTAAAATGTCCCCATCCTACAAAAGCCAATATATGCTCAGCTTTGTTTGCCCTTTCAATTTGAATGGCGCTGCTTATGTACTTAAATTTGCTGTAAGCTTATGGAAATATTAGCAAGTGTGAGATTGAATTGTAATTGATATATTTGGCGTTCTGCCTTGTTATGAGCCATCTTTCATATTATTTAGGTTGAACTTGAAATGGCCATTGATACTTTGAATCCTAACTACTGTCGCAGCAAAGGAGAACAGATTGCTCTCAATGTCGATGGCACCTCTACAGATGAAACAAGTACCTACTCCTCGTAGGTGTCCTCTTTACCTTCATTTCCTTTTTGTGGTGAACACAGATACAAGTATGTCTGCCAGGGCTTCAGAGAAAGGTGGGAACAAGTGGCTGCACAGTCTTGGGGGGTGCCTAATTTTTTTTTGTGTGCTTCATGATTTCTGAATTGCAAACAGAAAGATGAGTGTATGTATTTGCTACAGTTGTTGATATTCCATTTTGAGAATTGGTGATTTGAGACCTTTAGCATCTGTGTGCCACATTACCTGTAGGATACAATCTCACAGCATTCATCTGTCTGCAGGAAGCTGATGGACAAGCAAACTTTCTGCTCTTCTCAAGCTGCAAGTAATGTTTCCCGCTATGCAGCTGCTGTTTATAAAAAAGGTGAGTTTCTTTTGCCTAACCCTCACATTACTGAAACACACTTGTTTCAGGGTTAAAATAAAACCTGTTTGTTCTTTTATTTCAGCCTAGCATTTAATTGGCTGGAGAGTCTTGAAAGACAAGTAAATTTTTCCTTATCAATGTCCCCATAGTCCTTGAGACAGTCAAGCAAAATTGTAAATATTATAGAAGAACACTGTGGACTTGTAGATGCCTCCAGGATCTTAACAGTGCATGGTGGCCTGAAGTAACACACATTTGTAGCATAAATTTAGCACTGTTATCTATATTAGTATCTCCATCTAATTGTGTCTGTCTCATTTTCCTGTGTAGCACTTTTTGGCCCCTCTTTTGTTCTCCCATTGCATAGTTTTGATCAGAGGATCATTTGAGGTGAAAATAGGTAGATTGTCTACAGTGATGACTATTACTACAAGTCTCCTGAGCTATAACTCAGATCTGAGCCAGAATGTGGCTCTCTACAAGATCTGGTTTCAGCACAAAAAGTAAAATAAATAGGTCTTGGTCTTTTATACTCCTTTGAAATCCTGAGCAGCGGATGAATTTTGCACTTTAATCTCTTTTTACATTTTACTGTTGTCCGGGTTTGAGGACAACTGTATTAAATATTTATGTTCAATTGAAGCTGTGCTTTTACAGAGATGAGGTGAGTGCTGTTCTTGTGCAGTGGAAAAAAAAAAAAAATTTCTAACAAATGTTAATTGTCTTTTTCAGGTGAACTTCACCTAACTCCACTACATGGAATTCTTCAGCTGAGGCCAAGCTTCACCTACTTGGACAAGGCTGATGCAAAACACCGAGAAAGAGAAGCTGCTAATGAAGGTCAGTGCTCCATGAGTTGTGGCAAGATACAAGTTCCCTCTATAATTTTACTGATAAGAGTAACTGTATTCTGAAGGTGTTTATTATGATGACATACTGATTATAAGGCCGTTTCTCAGACTGTTTTGCTGATCTTGTTTTCAGTGTAGCTGTGTAACTACTTTTGTGTAACACAATGTGGGGGATTGGCAGAGGGATGGGAGGAGGGGGGGTGATACTGAAAGGCAACAGTAAGGAGTGTGTTACCACTGCCACTGAAAAGTTGCACTTCAGACCTCGTGGGAGCAGTATCTCTTGTCATAGGAGCAGTGTGATGCTGTCATGCATCTCATAGTTTGGCAAGATGGAACTGAACCCGTGGTTTTGTAGTTCCTAGTACTGCCTTCTTCCCACACAGACCGCCAAACAGTGGTTGTGACTGTTCTACTGCAGTGGTGTGTTTATTCTGTTGTATTTTTTGGCAGGTGGTGATTCATCCCAGGATGAAGCTGAAGATGATGTTAAACAAATTACTGTATGTCCAAATTTCCTTTTTTGTGATAGTTCAGGCAACAGTTCATAAGAAAGCATGACAGGTCACACCCAAATAAAAGTACAGTAAACCTCAGCTAGTCCTGGTGACCCTGGGCTTGGGCATGGAGAGAGGAGCAAGAGGAACTTGCGCTTGTTTTGGCACTGACAGCAAGGGGTGACTTCATTTGAGCTAGGGCCCCTGGCTTCTGTTACTTATGTACCAAATAAATAATGTAGGTGTTTTGTGTTGAGGGTTTTGATGCTGTATTTAATGATGCCCCAATCTTTTAGGTACGATTCTCCCGCCCTGAGACCGAACAAGCTCGTCAACGACGTGTTCAGTCCTATGAGTTCCTGCAGAAGAGACAAGCAGAAGAGCACTGGGTTCATCTACATTATTATGGCTTGAAGGTAGGTGTGTGTGGGCTAGTTGTGGAGGAAGCTGCCTGAGCCTGAGGTCTCAGCCAAGTCTAGAACTGCTTTTAAATCTGGGCCCATGGGAATCGGGGAATCATCAAAAGATAATGAAGAAAAGTAGATCTGTAGGCTTGAACAGACCCTGCAGTGCTCTGTACCTCTGGGTAATGCTTTGGGACCTTCACACTGGAAAAGGTTTAAAACTGAGAGCTGGACAAACACAAAGGGGAGTCTGAGTACAAGAATCACTCAGGTCTTAAATTATAACCTGGTCTTTGTGAAAGACTTGGGAACTCAGTTAGTTTGGTTCCAGAAATCCTGTTTGTCTGACTCACATGCGTGTCAGGGGATTTTGAAGACAGAGCAACAGAAATGTTCCCACATCATGTGTGCATCATTCATGAAAGTGAAAGGAGAACATCAGTTAGTCATGGGAAATGCTTGAATGGTTCAGTGATGACAGGGTGGTCACAGTTTGGAATGAGGAATCCAGCTGTCTGTAATTTGTATGTTTTCAGTATGTGGCAGTGATCCTTGCTTTTCTCTGTACCTGCAGGACAGCCGGTCTGAACACGAGCGCCAGTATTTATTTAGTCAAGGCCATGGCCTTGCTGAAAACACAGAATTAATTAAGTCTCCCAGGTAATGGATTGATTGTTATTATACAGAAATGGCAGTAATTTGTTGGGATTGTTTTCAGAGTATATAAGCGGGTATATTCTTTCAAAGTCTGGTCTTCAATAATTGTATACACAATACAAATTTTAACTGTTTAAAAAATGCAGAAAGAAACTAGCCTTCATCTTTACATCTTTTCCAACTTGCTGTTTTTTTCCCCTGTACTCTGAGATTAAAACTAGTTGTTTTTACTCAAGATTGTAGCCTCTTGTACATTATCATAACCCTGCATTACTGGGACTGCCAATACTATAGAGAAAAAGTCAAACAAAAGCTTATTTTTATTAAAATAAATTAAAATTCTGAAGCCAATAACTTCCATTGTTAGCTAATCTTATAAGACTTTCTTTTGTGATTTGAGAGACACACCTTGAAACTTGTTTGAATTTGTTTCTTGGTGACTGCCACTGTACAGGAATCCTCCCATGCTGCAGTCAGTACTAATACTTTGCTGTAGTCTTACAGGAATAGGAAGGTGGCAGACTCTCTGTTTAATGGTGTGGGTGTGTATTTCTTAACATTTAACATATCAGTGGAACAGTACTAGGTGTTCTGAGCAGTCTTTTGGATCTCACCCTCCTCACAGACACTGCTAATTAGATGGGTGGAAAAGGGGCTGCTTCCTGCT